GACAGCTGCAGGGGGATGGAAATTAGGGGCACTGCATCCCCCACATGTCCCCCCCACCCTCCCTGGGGCTGTCCCCAGCCCTGTCACCCCCGGGGGTACTCACAGGGCTGAAGTGGGAGCAGAGCGGTGGCCAGCAGCACCCAGGGTACCTCCATGGCAGGCGCGGCGTGCGGGGCTGCCAAGGGCTCAGCCCCCAACTGTCACCGTCAGCTGCGTCGCCCATCACCTGGCATCGCGGCAGGGCTGCCCCGTGGACAAGCCAACAGACAGGTGACATGGAAACATACAAAAGAAACCTTTAACAAGAAGCCCCGGGCGCCGGTGGGAGTGCTGCCAGTGACACCAAACACCCCCAGAACATGCCTGGCTCGGCCACCTTGGTCTCTTGCAGTCAAGGCTGTGGCTTTGTGCAGCAGAACTTTGGGCCACCGCCTTCTTCTTGATGAGTTTCAAGGCATATGTATTGAAATAAACCAAAGCAAAACCTGTCTGATCACTTTAACATGTACCCGTCATTAAGGCAAACGTTTTGCAAAGATTTTTCTTTTAAAAAAAAAAAAAAAGAACCCCAAAATATATCTCTCTCTTTCATCATTTCCAGCATTCACTTCATGCTATTTTATAAACTCTTCATCTTTGCAGGCTGCAGCCAGTGCTCGGAGAACGAAGACCCCCACTGCTCTCAACCCAGCAGTGGTGATATTGCCTGATTTCCACACGCCGCATCTCGCTAGCTAGTGATCCTTTGGGAAGTGCAAACCAACTTCAACAGAGCCGCATTTCCTCGCCATGCAGCTCAGGGACCGCCCCGGCTCAATACCAACATCAAATTAATCTTGCAAACGTTTGAAGAACCTGAGAACCAACTTAACACTTGAAGCCCACAGGGGGCAAAGGGAGGACTGAGACACGCTTCCTCCCTCTTGGCAGCGGCGTCACCCTGCCCCAAGGATGGAGCTACTCCACGTTGAGCTTTGTTTTTATGTTCATGGCTGCCAGCTCTGCCACAAAGTAACGGAAGACATGGGGCACAGGGACGACCTCGATGGTGTCCACCTCGTTGCAGACAGAACAGGAATACCTCCTGTTGCTTGTCACGGAGAAGGACTGCGGCGGTTTCTCCAGCACAGGAGACATCATGCTGCCGCAGCTCGTGCAGATGTAGGCTATGGAGCCATCGGAGCAGTTGAACAGGCGGTCTTGCAGCAAGAAAGACGTGCCGTGAGCCAGCAAAGCATCACGCTCCATCTCGCCGAAACGAATCCCACCTTCCACGTTCCTTCCCTTGATGGGCTGGTTGGTGACAGCATCTCGGGGTCCCGTCGTCCTCACCTGGAACTTGTCAGAGACCATGTGGCGCAGGCGTTGATAATACACCACTCCCACAAAGATCTCTGCCTCCAGCTCCAGGCCGCTGATGCCACTGTACATCTTTTCCGTCCCAAAGAAGTTATAACCTGCGCTCACTAAGGTCTCACCGAAGTACTTCAAAGCAGAGCGCTTCTCCGTGAAGGTGAAGGGAGTGGCATCGTAGGAGACACCGTGCAGCGCCGCCGACTTCCCCGCCATGCTCTCGATCAGCATCCCAATGGTCATACGGGAGGGAAAGCCGTGAGGGTTGAAGAGGATGTCTGGGACCATCCCGTTCTCCGTGAAGGGCATGTCCTCGACTGGCCAGAGCTGGCTCAGGATGCCTTTCTGTCCGTGGCGGCTGGCAAACTTGTCCCCGACAGTTGGGTTTCGGGGAACCCTCACCGTGATACAAGCCTTCTTGAATTTTCCCGTGCCGCGGTCATTACTGCACAACCTGACGTTGTCCACAATGCCGACTTCCTTATTCCTGGAAAAACAATCACAGCAAAGGTGTCAGCTGTGATGATGATTTTTAGCTAGAAAAAGGAAATGAAGGCAAAAAGCCCAAACTATTTTGTAAGTCTCATGAAATGTCTTGGGACAGCCGGGGAACAACACTGTTCTTGAAGAAGTACTATTCAGCAGCGAGGGCAAAAGAATTAGAGCAAGGAAGCGATACAAGGGCATCACACACGTGCCATTCATTTGCTTTTTCTAATATTGGAAGCAGAGCTACAACTTTCAGGTGATCAGATAACGCACCACCCTGCATTAGCAGCTGAGAGAACTGGGGTTGTTTAGCCTGGAGAAAAGGAGGCTGAGGGGAGACCTTCTCACTCTCTACAAATGCCTGAAAGGAGGGTGTAGAGAGGTGGGGGTCAGTCTGTTCAATCAAGTAACAAGTGACAGGACAAGAGGAAATGGCCTCAAGTTGCACCAAGGACAGTTTAGATTGGATCTGAGGAAGAATTTCTTTCCTGAAAGGGTTCTCGGGCATTGGAAGGGGTTGCCCAGGGCAGTGGGGGAGTCCCCATCCTTGGAGGGATTGAAGAGTCATGTAGACACAGTGCTGAGGGACATGGGTTAGTCGGGGACTGGTCAGTGTGAGGTTAATGATTGGACTAGGTGATCTTAAAGGTCTTTTCCAATCGAGGCCATTCTGTGATTCTATGTGATTTACACTAAAGATCACTGAAACCTGTATCTGACAAACTGCATTCCAGGTCCATTTGTTCTGTGTTGAGGCAGAAGTCCCTCTCCCCACCCCCAGTAAATCCACACCATCTTGGTGGGATACCGAAACAGAGAACGGGGTTCAGTGCAAAGCAGGGAGGGAGGAAAGTGCAGAGCAGAGGAGGAAGGTGCAGTGTGAGCTCAGAGGGCTTTGCCAATGAGTGCCTTGTTCGAGGGTGCGTTGCTTCTCCAGATGGGCCCTCAGCCTGACGTTCTATGTGCCAGGTGTCTGCTGCAGACTTAACTGTTGTTACAGAGCTTTCAGCCCAAACTCCCCACTCGTTTTGAAGACGACAGCTAAGGAATAAATACCTTTTGTCTCATGTTAAGAGAGGGTTACTTTTCTTTTACTTTGAAGTCCAGAGTGTTTGCAGCAGGCCTGTACCTAAGCATAGCTTCTGTTTCAAAGCTATTATTTTGCCGTGTCCAAATGCAGCCAGGATACAGGCCATCACCAAAAACCCCAAAAAACTGTGCTTTGTAAGCCTCTTCCAAGCTTGTTCAAAATTTGAAGCCAAAGCCTCTGTCCTCCCTCTCTTCCAAGGCACACCTAAGACCCACCAGCACATGCAGCACTCAGGGCAGCAGAGAGAACTCCTCCTTAAGGGCCCTGGGTCTCTGGAGCAAACTGGGGGCAGGAGCCACACTGAGAGCTGGGAACATCATCTCTCTGTAGGAACTTAAATAACAATCTGATTTGGACCAAAAATGAACTGAATGGTACAGAGGCAAAATGGCTCTCTGGATAAGGAGTCTGAACTAAGGCCAGGCTGTCACAAAAGCACTGGGGAGCAGGAACACAGGGTAGGAAAACCAAAGAGGGCTCCACAAGTGCAAGGACAGGCTGAGCTGATAGATCCCCACTACCACGTGCTGAATCTCTTAGCCCGGCTCTATGACCAGGATGGCCAATTCTGAGTTCACAGCAGCCCCCCCAGGGCAGCTAAGGCACCACCTGTTATAGAGAGATAAAAACCAGCTTCCTCAGTCATGTCAGTTACTGTGTTACTCAAACACTTCTCAGACTAGTTCACCTTCACAATGTGAGTATCTACACAGTGTTATCCTTGCTCTAGCATTGCTGTAGAGACAGAGGTAACGCCTGGAGTTGTACAGACAACTGGGAGTGCAGGATGCCTTTGAATTTATCAGTTTTCATCAGTTTTTGTTTCCCTTTCGTGAAAGAATTTAAAGGATTTTAATGAAAGCTTCAGCAGCCTTCTCTCTTTCAACTGAAGTTAAAAAACCTCACAAAACTTATCCCCGAAATATTCCAGGGGCAGTGAGGGGTGTAGTTAACACATTTTGATGTTCTAGCAGTTTGGAAGCCGCAATATTAATAAAAATGCTCTTTGAACCCCTAATCCTGTAACAACTTTGCTTACAAGATTTTCTGGCACGTCTTTGGGACCAGGCACTTTGTTTTGGTTTTCTGCTTGGTGTTTCTTTGGTTTTTTTTTTTTTTTTTTTTTAAACAGAAAACCTATGCAAATCAATTAAGAAAAAGCTACAGAAAACGACCACGGTGCCAGAGCAGATGAACACTTCTTGGGTGACAGCAAAACACTTCTGCAAGCTCTTTTTCAACAGACTTAGATTCTCATCTGGGGACAAGTGAGACTCTGCAGCATACACTGGCTTAGAGAAAAGCTGCAATATAGGCACAGGAGTCACCTACAACATGAGCTTCACGCTCTCTCTGCCAAGACACGGACACTATCACTTGAGGAGAAAAGGCAACGCCTTGAGGAAATGATAATGCAGCTCACTGGGGCCAACTGCTCTCAGGTGGCTCACTGCCAGCGTGCAGAGCCAGGAGGGACCAGATGTACTTACGGGTAGTACACAGTGAATGTCTCCCCTGTGCTGAGGTTCATGAAGCTGTAGAAGGGGTCCCCAGGCTGTAGGACAGAGCCAACAAAAGGCAGTCCGTCGGCATCCAACTTCCCTGTAACGTTGGGATCGCCAGGCCTGACTCCAAATACTAAATTATCACCTGCCCTGCTGGCTTTGAGGGAGAGGTCAACGCTCTCCATCTTGATAACGCTTCCATAGGCAAACCCCCTCTGCCAGGAAGATTTGTTCACGATCTAAACAGAAGAAACAAAAGCCTGTTATAAGTCTTGCTAATAACTTCAACAAAGAAAGCATTTCCTTTCCAATCCTTTCCAATCCTTTCCTTACCTTTTTAACAGTGCCTTCCTAAACAAAGCCTCACAGCAAGTCACCTAACCTTCTGCAACCCCAGTATTTTTCAATGCTGGAAGGCCACTGCCTTGCACAGGGGAGCTCTGCTCTACTCTTAGTACCTCCAGCATTACCTGCGGTAACAACACTTAACCACTGTGCTCCTGTACCTGCCCTAACAGAGTCTGTGGACCAGCCAAAGCAGAAAACAGGCTCTTCTCAGGTAGGTACCACCCTTCTTCCCAGTCCCCATCTCAAATTCCTTCGCAGGACAGCAGGATTCCTCCTCCTTTTGGTGGCTTACCATTGCATCTTCCATGTCATAGCCGCTGTAGGAGATGACAGCCACGATGGAATTGGTGCCGACGGGATAGCTGTCCATGCTGTAATGGTCATACATGCTGGGCCGCACCAGAGGGCTCTGGGGCGTGTGCAGGTGGTACAGCTTGTTATCCGAGCGGTCCTTGTAGTTGTAAACTGGAAAGCCCATGGTTTGCTTTCCTACAAAGAAAGAAAAGTGGATATATTGAGGATCAAGTCAAAGTTAATCTATGTTTCATCCTCCATGTATCTTGTTAAGAAGAAAGCTGTAAATACATCCAATTTAGAGGTATTACCAATATTAAAAGCCTTGGAATTTAGTAATTGCCCAAAGTCCAGCCATAAAAGTTTCTATGAACCACAACGCTCAGTTTCTTTCATACCATTTCATTATTTGTAATTCTGTGTCTTTTCTGCAATTGCAAAATCTCCAGGAAGGTCAGTGTGGTATTTTTTGGTTTTTGTTTGGGTTTTTTTGTGTGTGTGGTTTTTTTTCCCCCCCACCCTCTCCCCAAAGTTTCCTGTAGTGAAGCACACTTTACACAGATCCAGGCCAAAAAGGGTTTGCCACTGCAGTATAAATATATATAGGCAAGGGAAATAAGTTCTGAACACAGCCACATCAGAACTTTCAGAAAAGTATGAAAAAGTGGTAGCATTTTAAGGACATCTTCTGGTAATATTGTCAGAAATGTAATATGCTAGCGATGCTATCGAGGTAATGAGACCTGCTCTCTCGAAGCCCCTACCCAAACACTTTCTCTCAGCCTTTTGTTTTTGTTTTTAAATAAGCTTCTTGCGCATCACTTGCACCTCAGCTGATTGAAACCCCACGTCCATACCCTTTCCCAACGTCTTTCAGACAACCACATAAATCAATTTACATCTTTGTCAAGTAGTTTTGAGAAAAAAACCCCACGCTGTTGCCACATTGCTGCACTACTCTCTTGTGACAGACACCTACAATGAGCTGCTGTGCCAGGACAGCAGTTGCTCACTGGAAACAGGTGTTGAGGAAACCGCACACCACGACTGCAGAGCTTCTCCTGCAGCAAAGAGCCAGAAGAAGATGGTGGTTGTGGGGACAAGGGGACTGTTGGCAGCACAACTGTCAGACAATACCACCACCAAACAGCTGGTGCGGTGCCCTTCACTTGTCTGTGTCATCAACAACATCAAATTAAGAAAAAATAAAAACAAAACAAGCAAAACTTACTAAAGGATTATAAGTAATGAAACATGAGTTTCACAACTAAGTGCTGCCCACTGCAAGGCAGCCAGGATAAACTTGACTTCATTTACTTTGCCATGAAAAAAATGGCTGTTGATCAACTTCAATGCTGAAACAAGGCTGGGAAGAGCTGTTCTTTGGTCATGCAGAAAGACACGATGGAATACACACAAGAGATGTTTTTCTCCCTCCCTTGTGCAGGGACTAGCAGCATTAGGCTCTACAGCACTTACCCATCTGGCACTGGTACATGTTTCGTGGGCTTTGGTTGTGGTCGGAGAAGGGGATGAGGTTGGCCACCACGCTCAGAATGCTGTGAGGGAAGAGCTCCTGGTGAGTGCTCATTCCAGGCACTACCTCCGACTCCAGTGAGGCCACGTTCATGAAGATCTGCAAGCATCAAACCAGACAATGCTCATTTGCTTGCTTCCTTTAAAGGGAAGGAAGCAAAACAAAGCTGCCTGTGATGACTTTTTATCCATTTCAGTTTTAGCTGCGGTCACTGTCTGCACCATAGTGTCTTAGCAGGCAGGAAAAATACCAGACAGCTGTTAAACTACCTAACAGAACCACAGACCAAGTGCAAGGAAAGCAAGCAAGCCTGGAAACACAACATGGCAGTAACATGGCCTCCTTCCTGTCTCCCATTTAATTGTTCAAAATGAGCATGATCCACAGGAATCTGCTGCTTGGTTGCCCACGGAGACCATGAGGGAACACAAGATAAGACAGTACAAAAGACAGCAATCCTTCACCTCAAAAGCTTCACTAAATTAACACCGTGAGCAGATTTCAGTATCTCAAAAAGAGCCCTACAGTCCATCTAAGACATTTACCAGAAACCAATTAGCAGGAGGTGGTGAGAAAACCCTTTTGCCACCTATTCTAGCTCTTCCACGCAAGCTCCCTACGTCCCATCCTCAGCTCCTTTCACAACTATTTTCCAAAACATCATTTTTGATGCCAGGTACCTGTTACTCTGTAACAGTGAGCACTTTATAAAGGAAATATGCAACCTCCACCTGTTCCAGAGTGCCAATCCATTCGTTCCTTCCATAGAGCAGGTTTTTGACAGGCCGCACCATTCGGCAAGGGGTAGTAAAAATGAACAACCCGGGATACAGACTGGGTTTTCCCGTCATTGGGATAAGGACCACTTCTGCCCGCGCCGGGAACCTCTTCTCTTGCGTTATCTGTTTGTGCAAAGAAATACCAATTTAGAAATACAAACCAACACTGGTTTAGTGAAGCTGCATCCAACAGGTTACACAATGAAAATGCCAACCATGGGTGTAGCTACCAACACAAAAAGGCGGAGAAAACATTTTAAAAATACTTCTAGAAAAATCCCCACCAAAAAGAAGGACAGAATATGTTTATCTTGCCTTTTTCAACAAAAAAATTTCTTCTGATAATGACTATTTCATAGACTAACAGACCAAACATGCAGATATAAATAAGAAAAACAGAAAAGCGCATTCCCATACTAACATACAACCAAAGAGAACTTATTGGGTCAGATTAAAAAAAAAAGAAGAAGGAAGTTTAAAAAAGGTTCTAAACATGCTTATTTTTGACCACTGCATGTTGAAGTTGTTTAGCTAAGAAACATTCTGAACAAGAGAACCTTGAAACGGCGGAGAGTTTCTGCAATCCCAGGAGCCAGCTCCCGCTCCACCCAGCCCACCACAGAGCCATCCAACACCACTCTGTAGCACTCGGTGTACGGCTGGCTTGGCGTCGCATCAACAGGGGTGACACCTGTGTAGAAGGAACAGCCAAAAAAGCAAAAAAACCCACAGAATTATTTCTGCAGGAAGCTTTAATCCACACCAAAAAGCTTTCCGAGCCATCAAAAGATTCAGACTTACAGAGCAAAGCTGTAGATTACTTAATGCAAAATATAAACCATGCACAATTAAGAATGCCAGTCCCCTCTCCATTTTTCTGACCGAAATAAGGATTCCCATTATTGCAGTAAGCACAAGTAAGCTGCAGTTTAATTCAAGTCACCAGCAGCATTAGAAAGTCACTGCTTGGTCCAATTTCTTAGAGCTTGTACAGTGCAGTTATAGAGTCACAGAATGGTTTGCGTTGGAAGGGATCTTAAAGACCATCCAGTTCCAACCCCCCTGCCATCAGCAGGGACACCTTCCACTAGTGCTTAAGTGAATGCCTTCACTCTATGGCACACAGCTAAGAAACATTTACATTAACTTTACACTCTCCAGAAGGCTGACATGCCTGTATAAGCAACGTGCTACTCACCACTAAGCAGAAGCACAGCAAGTACGGGTTTAACTGGTTTCACTAAGCAGAAGCACAGCAAGTACGGGTTTCACTTTCTCCAGTGAAAGTGAAATTTTATTTTAATATATTTTTATTTTAAATAATAAATATATTATTTCAATTTTATTTTAAATAATAAAA